AAAAAAAAAAAAAAAAAAAAAAAAAAAAAATTAAACATAATGAAAATTTTTATCTGCAGTAATTTGAGGAAGAGGTAACTTTTTCCAATTTGCGCAAAATTGGGCCAGCCACGAAGTTGGCGGAGGGTGTCAAAGAGAGCTAAAGAGCGGAAGCCACAGACAGCTGGGGCAGGGCTGGTGGGAAGAGGGACTGAGCCGGAACACAGAAGCTGTGCCCGAGTCCCTTGCCCTGAGAGGCAGCAAGCTGCATTCTTCCAGGACTCAGTTTCCTTCCGCTCTGTCTCCTGGTCCTAGACGAGACTATCTTAAGGATGGATGAAGTGGGCCACATCCCACAGACGGCAGCCAGCCACACGGGCGCCTCCAGCTCTCTCCCTGTGGACGAGCAGCCTCCAGCCGACATGCTGCGGCCCGATCCCCGGGACACCCTGTACCGAGGTGAGCCTCAGCCTCGGCCGCGCCTCCTGGCGTTGGTGGGGACCACTCAGGAGACTTTTCCTTCTACCACGGGATCCCAGGTCACAGAATCATTTCTTCCCTATGAAGTATAAAATGTAACAAGTATAGAGGAGAGCACAAAAACATCAGTGTCTAATTTTACAGTTCTGTAAATCATTACAAAGTGCATTTGTGTATCTGCCACCCAGCACAAGAACTAGAGTTAGAATCCAGAAGTCCCCACACGTCTCTCCGCTCCCAGCCTGGGTCTCTTAGTAGATTCCTACTGTCTTGTCTGTTTATTGAGAAATATGCTGTCTTTTGGGTTTTGTTTTTTTTTTTTTGGTGCTGGGGATAGGACCCGAGGCCGTGAGTGTGCTAAGCACACGCTGTACAGCTGAGCTGTGTTCCTGGTCCAGTCATGTTCACATGTTTATGTGTTACATGTTTACATTGCAGTGTTCCACCCTGTCCTTAAAAAAAAGAAAGACAGCTGGAAGCTGCAGGGGGTCGGGGCTGTGGAAGGACACCTGGTCACAGCCCTGTCCCAGGCTGGGGCCTTGTGGTCCTGCGGAAGGAAGGCCGAGGGCCTCATGGAGGCCAGCCGTATGCCGTGACCCCAGAGTCGCGCTGTGCTGTGTCCTAACTCCTCTGCCACCGAGGTGCTCCTTGAATGCCCACCCCGGGAGTGGTGCCGGCCTTGGTGTGGCAGCCTTAGCCCGTGAACACTGGCTGAAACTGCCAGGAGTTAATGCAAAAGGGTGGCTTCTCCGGGCCCAGGGCCTCAGCCCTTGCCCTCAGCAGTAAGCCCTCGGGGCCCCAGGCAGGCCCACTGAGGCGCCTGTCTCCCACCCTCAGTCCTCTCCCCTCGTTCTCCCCAGTGCCTCTGATCCCCAAGTCCCACCTCCGCCACGTCCTGCCTGATTGTCCCTACAAACCCAGCTACCTGGTGGACGGGCTCCCGCTGCAGCGCTACCAGGGCCTCCGCTTTGTAAGTTTGGGCCCAGGTGCCATAGAACTGGGGCGGGGGTGACTGCTTGGGGCCGGGCTGGGAAGGGCCGAGCTGCCTCACTGCTCTCCCCGTGCCTCAGCCTGGCACACGGACGGCCTCACAGGGGAGGTTCCCTGCGCTGGGACAGCGTGTGCTCCTGCCGGCCTGACCTGGGTGGATGCATGGGCTGTCTAGAGCCCGGGAACGGGGCGCCTTAGGACCCCCTCCTGCAGCTTTGCTGTAGTCAAACAGCCCCGTGACTGCACTGAGGGTCACACCGCCCTGTCCTGCCTGCTCAGTCCTACCACGCAGCCAGCCGATGGCAGGAGGACAGTGAGCCGGGTGGTCAGCTTTAGAGGCCCTACACGGCCTACAGCGGCAGAACAAGCATTATCTGTCCAGATCCAGAAGTGATCAGGAGAGCTGGAGATAGGCAGGAAGAGGCCAGGAGTCAGCAGAAGCCAGAGGGTTGGCGGCATGACAGTGACCTCAAGCTGTGTCTGAGCAGCGCAGTCAGTGAGAGGAGGGGCTCGCAGGCTGTGGGAGGGGGCAGGAGGGGCTCGGATGGCAGGGGGGACCTGCTGCTGCTGCTGCTGCTGCTGCGCGGCATGGGCGGGGACGGAAGATGAGGTGGTGTGGACTGGGGACCTTGACTCGGGGCTGCGTCTGAGCAGAAGGGGTTCTGGGCGCGGGACTCAGCAGTGTGTCCGGTGCCCCAATCAGTCCCTCACCACCTGCACGGGAGGGTCCTGGGAACCCTCACGGGGCTCGCTGGGAAGGCTCAACCCCTGCAGTCGGCTCCTCCCGGGGTCCAAGCTCTCACTCCTTCTGCTCTCTCTACCTCCAGATTCATCTGTCCTTTGTTTATCCCAATGACTACACCCGCCTGAGCCACATGGAGACCCATAACAAGTGCTTCTACCAGGAAAATGCCTACTACCAGGACAGGTGAGTGGCCCCGGATGGAGTAGAACGGGAGTCAGAGGGCTGCTTGGGCTCTCGCAAGGGGCCACATGTGACCTCCAGCCCAAAGAGCCCGCGTTCTTCCCGGGCATGTCTCACAGGCGCGCGCGCGCACACACACATACACATACACACACTCTCTCTCTCTCTCTCTCTCTCCCTCTCTCTCTCTCTTTCACTCTTCTTGGAGCCTCCTTCTGCCGAAGACCGAGTCTCAGGGCACCGGTTGCCCTTCCAATGTCCTTGTCCTTGCAGGTTCAGCTTCCAGGAGTACATCAAGATTGACCAGCCAGAGAAGCAGGGCCCAGAGCACCCAGGTACAGAGTGACGCCGAGCCTTCCAGGCTGGGAGGGGGACCATAGTCTGTTTCCAGGAAAGTTCAGACCACACAGCCCTGCCTCCAAGGGGCTCAGCACCCAGCTGCACAGCCCCCCTGCACCCAGGGAGTGGAGAGCCACCACCCGCTTTTCCTTCCTTGCCGAGGCCCGCGTAGGCCATGGCCCTCATTCACAGCGCCAGGGGTCAGCCCCGAGGAGGCGGGCTGCTGGAGGCCCTTGCCGTTCCTGGCCCACCATTGAGGAAGTTCTGCTGTAGAGAAGCCCTGCCTTCCTGTGGCCTTTCTTCTTGGTATTAAAGCGTGGCTGAAAAAATCAAATAAAAATAAATCAATAAAGCATGGCTGAGACAATTTGTGGGATCCCTAAAAGGAGCCGGGCACCTGCCAGGCCCTTTGTGTATTTGATATCACTCAGTCTTCCTAGCAGCCCTCTAAGAGATGGGTTTTTATAGCTTTTACATAGATAAAGAAACGGGGGTTAAATGAGGTTGAGAAAATTGCCCGGGAGCACACAAGTGGCAGAGCCTGCATGCAGTCCCCATCTGGACCCCTTGCTGTCAGGTGATCACCAGCTGTCTTGTATATCTTGGAAAAAGGTTGAAAACTGCTGATGCAAGGAATGGCTATTATTCACACCAGGTTTTGAGGAGACCCTTCTAGAAGAATCTCAGTATGAAGAAGTGGCAGAGGAGACCCCTGCCTCCCTCGACCGGGACATCAAGACACCAGAGAGAAAACAAGTGTCTACCTCCACCCCCAGGCAGGACGTCACTGACTACCGCCTCCGAAGCCTGCGGAAGCTCCTGGCCCGGCCTCTAGGGGACCAGGGGGTGCCCGTTCCCAAGCAGAATTCCACAGCTTCCTTCCCCGTGAGGAGCAGCGACACCCTCCAGCACCCAGAGAAGAGGAAGGGAATGCCCAGCCCCGCGCCCAGCCAAGCCTCCCCGCGTTCTGACAAGCGGGCCCCTGGGCACTTGGCACAGAACCTACCTCTGACTAAGAGGCCCAGGCCCACGGGGAGCGGCCCCGGGAAGACCCTGGAGCAGTCTCAGTGGCTGAAGCAAGTAGACTCCTACATTGCACAGCAGAGAAGGGGTGACGGGTTGGAGGCACAGGCCTCCAAAGGGGGGTGGCCCGGGGAGGAGGAGGAGGAGGTGGCAGCTGCGGATCAGGATGGACCAGTGGAAGGAGAGGAAGAAGGGGAAGAAGAAGAGGAGGACGACGATATGAGTGAGGTGTTCGAGTACGTGCCTGTGTTTGACCCGGTAGTCAACTGGGACCAGACCTTCAGCGCCCGCAATCTGGACTTCCAAGCCCTGAGGACTGACTGGATCGACCTGAACTGTAACACATCCGGCAACCTGCTGCTGCCCGAGCAGGAGGCCCTTGAGGTCACGAGGGTCTTCTTGAAGAAGCTCAACCAGAGGAGCCGGGGGTAAGGTAAAGGGCTCTCTTGGGGCCAGGGCTGGACATGGCAGGGCTGGCCCGGAGAGCAGGTGGCCCCCGGTGGCTGAGGGCAGTTTCTTCTGCTACAGGAAGAGAGGAACTTGACCCCCAGCCAGGCTTCCGGGCCCCTGGTGGCCCTGCCCTTGGCGTGCTCTGTACCAGCCAGGCAAAGCTCTGCAACCCCCAGGAGCCTGGTCCAGGATACATATTAGTGTCCTTTTTTTCGGTTTTTCTCCGGTACCGGGAACCGAACTCACGACCTTGCGCTTGTCAGGCAGGTGCTTTGCCGCTGAGCTAAATCCCCAGCCCCCAGGATACATATTGAGGCCTGGGAAGGCTGGTCCCCATCTGGACCCCTTGGTCCAGATGGGGTCTCCTTCTCAGAGGCCAACAGGCAAAGTGAAAGCTAAAGCTACAAATTAATACACAGTTGTGGGTTCAAAGGGCTAGGACATGAGATATGACTAGAGTTCTTTGGGGTTGTTTTGGTCATTCATTCATTCATTCACCAGTCAGCCTTTTTTTTTTTTTTTTTGAGATAAAATTTGTGCACCATTCAATTTATCACTTTAGAGTGTGGTTCTAATCATATATTCACTGCTGTCTAATCCCAGACCACTTCCGTCACCTCTGAAGAAACTAGCCTTGAGCGCTAGCACTGGGGTGGGGGTGGGGGATTGAGAGTGGTCTGAGCTCAGGAGGTTGGGGTCAGCCTGGGCTACACAGCAAGAGCCCATCTCAGAAAAAAAAAGAAACTCTATGCCCACAAGTGGGTACTTCTCATCGCTCCCTGCTCCAGGCTCTGAAAAGCACTAATCTACCTTCTATCTCTACTAATTTGCCTTTTTTTTTTTTTTCTGGTACCGGGACTCGAACTCACAACCTTGTGCTTGCCAGGTGGGTGCTGTGCCACTGAGCTAAATCCCCAGCCCCTAATTTGCCTATTTTTGACATTGTGTATATGTGGAATTACAGTAAGTCCCTGACTTCTATCATTTATAAGTCAGATTTGTTCGTAATTCCAGCAAAGTAAGGCTTATATGCCTTTGACACAGATATACAGTGTAAAACGTAAAACTAAACACACACATAAAATACTGTAAATAAACTATTTTTACTTTTACAGTTTCCTTAAAGTGGTAAAGTATACACCTGAGCTACTTCTGAAGTTTGTTCACATCTAGGAGTGTTCATAATGTAAGGTCCATTTGTAGCTGTGAGGGTTCACAACCCGAATGTTCTGGTCGTAGGTCAGGGACTTACTATATATAATATGTAGCCCTTTTTTGGCAGGCAAGAATTCTACCACTGAACTACCAATGCCAGCGAGATGTAGCCTTTTTTTGTCTGGCTTCTTTCACTGAGCAAAATGTTTTTAATGTTTATCCACGTTATGGAATATGTCACATACTTTATTCCTTTGTATTGTTGGGTGGATAAAGGAACTGGATGGCACACATCTGTAATCTCAGCACTCTTGGAGGCTGAATCAGGAGGATCTCAACCTGGCCTATTTAGTGACTTAATGAGACCTTGTCTCAAAACAAAAAAAGGGCTGGGGATGTAGCTCAATGTGAAGGCCTTGGATTCAATTCTTAGTACAAAAAAAAAAAAAAAATCTAAATTTAAAAATGAATGCTTAAGTTTGTATGACAAGCCAGGCACTCAGGAGACTGGGACAGGGAACAGGAGGCTCACAGTGAGTATGAAGCCAGTCTTGGCTACGTACTGAGCTCAAGGCCAGCTTGAACTATATATCGAGATTCTTTCTCAAAACAACAAAAACAAACATTTTTATGATGATTCATTCACTTTTATG